CAATAGACTTTCACAGACAGATGAAGGAACACCATACCACAGATAAAGCATGTTGAACCATCGTTGCAGTCAGAATTATCCTGCCAATGTTTTGTTCCTTGGATTGTTCCAGCTAAGAACGTGGACCTTGAACTGTGTGTCAAAAGATAATGAAAGCCAAGCTCATGTCGAAAGCTCTCCACCAATGAAGCTTTAACATCACATTTTAAAACTGACAGACATACACCTACCCACTGTGCTCAGACTGTGGACTATATAAGAACTCCATATTAGTTTAGTCCACATTTGGTAAGATTCAGTAATTCCCTTACATCATTTATAGTGGGGTAACATTTCATCTTTGTTATGAACACAAATTTTGTGCTTTCTGATGAAAAATTTAAATTTAAACACCAAACTTAAGTATGGAGTTTGTATGAGGTTGAAGAAAGCGGAGGCATGGAGCCTGTGACATGATTTGTGTTGATGTTGGATGAAGCAAAAGGTCCTCCTCCAACTACCTGTGCCCACTGGTTTGTGTTTTTAAGGAGGTATATGTTGATCAGTAGTGCCATCTAGTGGGTCATTTTAACACAAACACAGCTGCCCTCACTCTTGGAAAGAAAATGCTTCTCCCAAAATGGTGACCTACGTCTGGTTCACGCAGAGAAACACGATTCACTGCTTACCTCTTGTGGTCTGTCTACATGCATATCATTTGGTTTTATCTGTACAGGATTTGTCTCTGAGATCTGAGCCATTCTTCACTCCAGTACAACTGAGGTAAATGGAGCTTTGTTTGCGTTGCTCACACTACTGAAAAATTGATGGATTATTCACAGAACACAGACAATGGGTTTTCTGGAGCTTTTGTGTTGTAAGAAAGTAGACATGCACAGACACACACACTGACAGGCAATTTTAAACCCGGATAAATAAAACCAAAACCATCTGCATGAAGAAACATCACTAGATATATCCAAAATTATATAATGAAATTCAATTTGGAACCTTTGAGATTCTTTGAGGCTGAATATGAAGTGTTGTTATTGCCCTTTTTCTTATGCACTTATGAATAAAATGTGACTTAGCCCATTGAAATAAGGAAACACTGTGTTCTGCCAGCAACATTAACATTAGTAATAAAAATTAAATATCAATGATATGTATGCCTGTTTATTTCCTGCTGGTAAGAGCATTATGCAGACTTCCTCTTTTGGAAGGAATTTCACATCATCTTCATCTGGCAAAAACCATGTTCCACTCAGATTTCATCTTCTCCTGTGACACAGCCAATTATTTATTCTTGCTTCCTCTTAAGCTTTTTCCAACTCATTATATCTTTTCCCCCATCATTTCTTTCAGAAGCGCCTACCGGTCTCTGATTCAGTCATCTTCACTACCATTTATTCATGTCTGCTCTCCATCTTTTCATACATCTTTCACTGTGCTAGCTCCAACCTTCTTGTTTAACTTTCACACTTAACATTATCCTTTCATCCCGTGATTACTGCTCTTAGACCTCTCACATACCGTGGCAGTTCTCAATCCCTGCCCCCAGCACCTGGTGTTTCACAATGTAAGGTCAAAGCAATTAACTAGATGCTTGAATCCGAAACCAGCAGTCCTCTAAAACTCTAAGAACATGTACTGAAAATGTGAAAACTATTTCAAAATTCACCTCCTCATCCATGAAACACATTGATAGCCCGAGTTCCCTTTCATCTGTTGTGGACTGGTGCAGAAGCCTTGCAGCCCAGCAACTGTTCTGCCCTACAGTGCACAGTGGCTGGTCTCATAATCTCGTCATTTGAGGTCTGCAGCAAAGACCAGATCTGGCAAAAAGACATAAAAAGTCAATCCACTCCGGGGTTTGAGTGTGCTTATCTGGAGCGGTGACGCATGTTGAAGCTGTGACACAGGACAGTGGTATATCCTGACATCACATACATGTCGGTGAATCCTTTAGTAATGCCACCCTATCTCTAATCAGTTTCAAGCCCAACCATAGCTGAAATTAGTGGAAGCTCATTTCATTATAAAGAGTGCATGTTTTCTTATTTCTGCACATCTAAAGCAAAGTATAAACAGCTGTTTCTGGACATTAAGCACCTAAATTTAAAAATCATATTTTTAGCTATGATTTATTTTACAGTTGAAAACAAGTTCCTATTTCTTGCCTTTCTTGTTCATTTTAGTTTGAGAAATGTAGTACTGTACTGTAGGGCACAAGTTAAAGGATGCTTCTGATTGATTACAAATAGGGTCTTGGTATAGCTGTAGATTTGGCCATCAGTAATAATAGTCCCTTTTACGCTGCCCATTCAATGCAGGAGCTTTCCGCCTCACTGTTCTGTAGAAAAGGTACAGTCCCGGCATGGTGGGTTGAAGCTGACCCTCTAAAATAAGAGGCAGTATTTTTGCTGAGGCGTATAAATGGGACGAGATGGAATGGGGGGTTGGAGGTCTGCATGTGAGACACAGAGAGAGCCACAGAGTGAATGAGGGGAGAGAGCAGTGTCTGCAAGAACAACATGAATCAGAGAATTGAAATGTTATTTTGTGACTGTTTCACTGTGGTTACATTCTAAAGAAGGAATAAACACAGTCACACCTCTGCACAACCCTGTAGGATGGATTTTGTGTGAATGCAGCCAAAAGCATGCTTCTGTCTGATCTGAGGTAAGATGCACCTTGTGTGTGTGTAGCCCTACCCTCGGACACACACACACAGAGAGACTTGAAATTGGATGCATGCAGTACTGCCATTCACATTTACAAATCTAGCAAACAAAATATAACAGATAACAGCCCATTTGTTCCATTTTCAAAATGAAACTTCATTGGCCGTCAAGGACATGGACTGTTGGACATCATGATCAGCATCACCCCTCCAGTACCGGGATTCTGGCAGCTGTGTAAAACACAGGATCAGCAGTTTGCTGGCTTGTTTAAGTTCAGGGTCTAAGGGGCTTAAATCAAAAAAGGCACCTTGAAAAAGGGTCAAAACACAGACAGGTTGCTGTGGTATCTGTGTAAAAGGGACTAATATCACTGTATTCATCAAGCTACCTGGGAGTGCAGCAACATCATCATCACACAGGCTGTAAACAAATCACCAGGTTAGCAAATAAATCCAATAAAGTTTATAAAACTTTTGCGAAAGGACTCTTGCTTACAGAAATCATAGCTCTCTACAGGCCAAGACCAAAGTCTGGCATGTGCACTCCCTATTTATAATTTTGCTATCAAAGAAAGTAGATGTAATGGGATGTCCTTGTGTGCAGAACTCTGCAGCCTGCATACCCTCTGCCATATTCTGATAACAGGTACCAGACAGCAACACAGGAGCACCCGGGCTAGCACCAGAATGTAAACTCACTTCCCTCTCTCTGCTGTGGAGTTTGGACAATAGTTTAACCAATATCAAACATGAAAAGCATCTTTCAATTAACATTACACTTGATTCACACTTGCTCATTAAAAGAGCATTTTACATTAAGCTGGTGAGAATATAAACAATAAACACACAAAGAGCACAATTTTGTGGCTGATTCATCAACTTACACTAACCACTTGCATTAAATGTCTGTGTCAAGTCCACATCAAATGAAAGCTAGTTGTCAAGATGCCTTGTTTTGCTCATTTAAATAATAAAAAAGAAGTAACCCTAGAATACAGCCGCAGAGAAGAAGGCTAATATATGTATCTTTGTTCAGTTAACACCGTTGTTTGGTTCAGTAAGTTTATCCATGTTCACACTCTGGAGTTTATTTGGTTTGCAAGTCAGTCTGTCATGCAGAGCATTAACCAACTAAGTACTTTGCATGTAGCTATATACCCGTCCTTAACTTCCTATATGTACTTGGTGTCTCACCTCATCATCATGGACCAGCTCCTTCTTCACCACCTTCATGGCATAAACCTGCTCGTTTTTCTTTAGCCGAACCAGCAGCACCTTGGCGTAGCTTCCACGCCCGATCACTCGGATCAGGTCAAAGTCACCCAGTCCAAGAGCCAGGCCCTGAGACAGCTTAATGCCATCGATGCCATCCACTACTGCTTGGATGTCCTACATGGGTCAAAGTCAGAATGGTATCAGTCTATACAACATAGTTTGAATGTCTTCATGCTCATGTTTTAGGTAATGATCAACTAATAAATGCTGTCCAAATTATTAAAAAGAAAAAAAAAGGATTCATGGCCCTTTCCCACATATGTAATGTGCATTTTATTCAAAAGAGACCTTATTTCATCTTGTGACTGCAGTCCAGAGAAAGGATGATTACTTTACAAACATTAAAACCAAGTACAAACTCACTTTCACACAATTTCTACTAAATTAAGTGGAGTGATTTGGAGTCTTTTCTCACCTCTGTGTCTGCATCTTCTGTTTTATCCACTGTACAGTTGTGCGGTAAAAATGGTACTGCAAAAAATACATACAGGCAATCACAGAGTTATGAGCATTTGGATGCAGTCACAACGTGAGGGAACTGAATCAGCACTTATAGATTTAACAAGTTGCTATTCTGGCCAGTAGAGGGAGGGAGAATACACAGAATCAAGCCCAGCCTGTTAAAAATACAAAACTAGGTCAAACCACTGGAGGTCGCAGAGCATTTCATATCAGGGACCCATACCGAACCCCCACAGTCCACAGTATCCTTTTAATAGCTCTGTTCTATGGCATCCGCTCAGAGAGCACCAAGTAAATAGTTACATAAGTGATGATAATAAGTGAAGATGAGATGAAGCGACCAGGGTCTAAAGTGAATTTTCTGAACAAACTGGTCATTCTAACATTAATTTGACTTGTGAATTACAGTCAGAGCCTTGCACTTGTGCATATACTATACTGTACATGTCTGCCACAGTACCACTAGTGCCATCAAATGTACAACTACATAAACATTTAATGTCAGAAGCTCTTAATCTTTTTACTAATCTAATCTCGTGGGAGCGGTTTAGATTTATGTATGCTTGTGTCTTTGACGCTGTTGCTATGATATAGGTTTCATTGTCACACCGCTTGAGATATGAGGAGCAGGTTGTGGATTTGCCAAAGACATGAGAGAAAGGAAAAGTAAAGCCCACCAAGTCAAGGGCCGAGTTCACCAAGAGCTTTTAGGCTGGTCTGTAGTGTCAGGCTATTCTTAAGTTTGCTCAGATGAGCCTAACACAAGTTAGAGATTCACAGGAATAACAGCTGACTTATTCTGAGCCTTAAAAATTGACCACCTGATCCCCAGGCTACCTCTGAACTAAGAGACATGTTCCCATGATAACAACCAGTGACATCTGCTGACCAGTGGCACCAAATGGCAGCTGCAGAGTGAGTGATGAAAAGCACCACAGCGACCTACAGGAAATCTACAGCAGCGAGGATGCTGTCACAGACACTGCTCACCTGAATATGACCTGACAAGCACAAGTACTGGACTCTACCACATGGAAAAAGCCACAGAATATCAGCCATGATACAGGTCCACACCACACTAAGATGTTACGCTGCTTGAGGGTTTTTGTACTGCTACCCTCTTTACTGAGGTTCAGTTCTTCCAGAAGGGAAACATTTTATGCTTCAGCAACTTTGATCTTTATTTTTGGGGAAAAAAACAAGAAATTTTTTAATTTACCCAGAATTTATAATTAATTCACAGCTAGCTAAGAAAGTCAAAAATTAGACAGCTTTGTGCAAGGGATGAATTCATCTGTATTCTAATAGTTGAATTTAAGCCACAGAGTTCATCCCTGTGAGGCCAACTCCAGTTTAAAAGTTAAAGTGTAAGTAATGTGAGTGATTTAGAGTACTTATATTCTTGTTTTTAGCTCACATGCACATGGTGGCTACTCAATGTAAAGTTGTGCATGTGCTCAGAATAGAACAATCCGCACCCATTGGAAGAAATCTAGGTTTAGGGTAGGTTCTGATTCTGAATTCAAAATTCAATATATGGTGTGTCCCAATTCTATTTGCTAACAGCACACAGTAGCTACTACTGAATATACTAATTTTTATAATACACAGGTTTTACAGTTAGTATACAAGAAATCCACATCCTTAATTGTTTTATCCAAACAAGAAATGCAAGAAGAAGAAATACTTGACTTTGGTCATCAGTCAAACTGCAACTCCAGAATGCCACTGGTAAAGTTAACAATGAGTTTTAATTTCTTCTAGCTCCTTTCAAAGTCATGGCAACTACATACTCATAAATCAGACATTTTTAGTCTCCATGCCGACTTCGCCTTCAGTATTCTGTCAGGTTTTCACAGTCTTACAAACTTGCTTAGAATTAATACGAAGTGTAGATCTGAGACAGTCAAAGCTGCATCAACACATTTAGTTACATTACAGTTTACTGTACAGAGTGGGAAGTTCTCAAAAATATGTTCTGATGTTGGCCAGAAACGACTCAGCTCGGATCAGCCACCATATTTATTTCTAAATTAAAGGTTGAAACCCAGTAGATGAGCCATCTTGCTTTTGGGTTTGTTTGTTTTTAATTCTACAGGTACATTCTTATCTATTGTTAAAAATGTTTCAATGTCTTACGCCCATCTGTGTCCTCTGTGTCATCTGGTGGAAGGTCCACCTCTTCACTCTTGGCATCTGAAGGTGGCTCTTGTGATGGCATGACTGGATCCTGGACAAAGAAATTCAAAAACCCACCTAAATATCCCCTGAGACATTCTGCCAAATATCCAGTGAAATATCCACTCATGGTTTTACATTCCTGGAAGAGTGTGTGATGAATCATGTTTGCAAGGACCAAAGAAAAGTCTGTATTTAAAGATGTGCTCCCAGCTAATGTGCAGAAATGTTGTTGCTCCACAAGTCTAATGACAGTGCTGGGGTTTCACTACAAAAAGCATTTAATCATTTCATCTTGTCCAGCCTCAAAGCCAGTTATCTGCAATCAAAGGTGTGATCAAGAGGGGGCATTCCCATGCTAACAGGGGGAAAGTTCACTCAGTACCAGAGCAAATACACATATTGACTACATTGATTTTTTTGTCAAAATTTTGATCTTCAGAGGCTCAATTTTAGATCTTTGTGTTTGGTCAGAAGCTTGCTTTGACTGTGGTCAAACGGCCTTTTTACAAGCACACTGTTTGCTGTCATCACTCTTCATGTCTCATTTCAATAGAATGGGAGAAAAGAGGAGGACACCGTAAGACAATCCCCAGTGACAAACAAGAAACGATGCCGTGCTTGATCTATGATCTTTCATGAAAATATCTGTGCTACTACAGCAGCTTACAGCATTTGATCAAGGGCACAGCTATGCAAAATTTCTTACATATTCATTAATACAAATGCATGCTGCAAGCAACTGTAAGATGGGAGTCTCAGAGGTACTGACTAAAAGGCTGAGTTTAAACTGTATCATCATATTTTAGTGCAATTTTTTTTGTCAAAACAAAACAGGCACACACTTCGGACTAAGCTCAAAAGTACAGTGAGCAGTGCACGCTACATCGCAGACACTTTAATATTCTGGTTTCAAAAAACTGTGCAAACTGAGCATGTGTTGAAATACTGTATAATTGTTTCTCAAGCACATAAAGGAAGACATTCAATAAAAAGAAATCTTCATTAAAACTTTACCCGAGGATGACTGAACAAAGTAAAAAAGTACGAACAGAAACTAGATTCTAGTTCTACATCAAAAGCTTCTTTCTACTGCAAGTCCCCTCTTGATAAAGGAAAATTTCAGTTTATTATAACAAGGGAATTTTGACTTTCATTTTTTTCTGTTATGAACAAAGAAGACTACAATAATCAAGCCATTTCACAGTGTGTTCACAGACCTATTTTTGCACAAAGGCATCCAGCAGTTCTTGCTTTAATGGCTGCTTTGTTGCTTTCTGAGATATGCTGTTTCTGTGCCATTTCATCGCCATTGTCAGTGTTGCTCTCCTCATGCCACTTCTCCAGAAGCTTGCTTGCATACAGTATATCAATGTCGATTTCCATGATTTTCATAAAACGTTTCAATCCATCTTTCAACCAGTTTTGTACGGCCAACTGGGTGTTTCTCCTCAGCGAGCTTGTGTTACAGAAGCTGTTTAAGGAGGTGTATGTTGTATTCATGTGATGTGTCCAATCATTCTGCTCTGCATCTTCTCAAGCATGCTAGAAAATAATACCTATCCAACCTCAGATGTTTACATGAAGTCTACCAAAAGCACTAAAAGCTTCAGCTACTCTGTCACTAACTTCTACACTGACTCCCAGGTTAACTGCCTAGACGGGGTAAGAAACACAAGCAGTCAATTCCCTGGTTAGTCAGACATATTTGGAGGACAAAATAAAGGTCAGTAAAATTATTACGGAAACTGTTTGTTAATTACATTTAGGACAGTTTACAAACCCACTTCCTGTTTAAACTTTGACCTAGTGTACTTACTGTACTGTAGTTTTTGTATACATGCAACATTTAGGGTGTTCATATTTTGGACTTTATCTCTGAATAAAATGGTGGGTAATCTGGATAAACTGTCTGCTTCTTTATGACTTGTCTGACTACGTATGTTTCAAGACATACTATGATGTAATCTTCATTGTTCATGTCAAGAACATACTGTATAACCTTGATTTAAGAGTTTGTAGGAATGCTGTTAGATTGTGCTGGTGCTGGCTCTGACAGGCTGCCACTGTGCTGCCTGCTGCTCAGGACATGATGAAGTACTCACCATAAGCCTTTGGCAGGTCTGCAAGATGAGTCTGTGACAGCGCTTATGGACCAACAGTTTGCAGTTGATACACTTGTAGCCCTGCCTGCCCAGCCCCCATATCCTTTCACTACAGTGGCCACAGTAGGCTTTCTGCAAGACACACACAGGACAGGACACACTGACAAGTTAGTCCTTAACTCACACAATGAATGACACAAACACTATTGGTTTTTACATCCAGGAAGCAGTGACAAATATACACTCTTTATTAAGTACGCCTGTACAGTTGTATCACTTCAATGCAACACTTCCACCTTAACATCTGTGTTTATGAAGCTCAAAATGTTTCGGTTTTTGATCCTAAATGTATAAATTCAATTACATGTTTATTAGTGAGGTCATAGTTAAAGGTGATGTTGTACTGGACTATATTATATTCAGAGGTGTCGCTATACTGCTGTTCTCCCCAGCTATGTACATGAGAAGGTCAGAATATTAGGAACATTTATGACAATTTCACCAAAAGGTGAAACAACTTGAGATTCATAAACACAGATGGTAAAGCAGAAGTGCATACAATTGTACAGGGGTACCTAATGACGTGGCCAGTCAGTGTATACATCTACTGTAAAGCTGAGACTTACTGAAGTCTACTCTCTGTTACGTAAATTGTTTTCAGAGGGTGTGTTTTTATTGTTATTTCTAGCTTGTCTTTTATGTTACTATATTAGCGCCAAAGGATGTTTGGTTTGCAGATCAGTGCCCCTGACATCAGGTCTAAATACTTGGTTTAAGATGGAGTGTGTGTACTTCGATGTACAGTATCTACAGTGTGTGAATACTGACAGTCAGTGCTCAGTGTCCATGGAAATGCCTCAGCAAGGCTTCCTTCAGTCTCTGTAATCTAACTCTACAGAGAGATTAAGGTGTACATTTAACAATTCTTCACACACTTCTGCAAATGTTACCTTTCCTGTACAGCACACACAACCTGAGAACAATAGCAGTGTGAGGTAAAAATACCTGCTCAGGATGTTTGTCACTGCATCAGGCTTTGGACAGACTAGAAAACACCAGAGAGTTAATAGTTCTGCCCTTTACTACTTAGCTTAGAGGAAATTCAGCCTCATTAAGCGGTTTGCCCAGATTCAGGTGCTAGTTTCAGTGTAAAAAGACACAGTAGCTGCCATTTGCTTTTAGACTGCTACATATAAATATAGGATGTGCAACTTCTTACAGAAAATAACCAAGCTTAATGAGCTCTTTTAAGACAGCCAAGTTGTACAAGGTTGCATCACCACAACAATCTTTTAATTTAAAAAGGCCCTACTATGTTGAACTTCCAGCTCTTTTCCAGATGGCATACTGAGGGTTAAGATCCAGACAACTGAATCACAAACAACACAGTTTTCTATTTCTATTGTTAAGCCAACGACTCCCAAAGAGGAGCCCAGGATACACCAGGAGCTCAGAGCTACTAGGAGACAGATGCCAAAGTTTCACATGACAAATTTCATACAAATATGTATGTAAGAAATTAACTTTCATTGTGTACTTAGCGACAGGGCAAGAGTGCAGAGGGGCAACCTAAAGGTAGCATTTCAACTGAACAAAATAACATTGTCCCAAAATGGGTGCATGTGACAGATCCTCCTTTCATGCCAGTACATACAGTGGTGTGAAAAAGTGTTTGCCCCCTTACTGATTTCTTATCTTTTTGCATGTTTGTCACACTGTAATGTTTCAGATCGTCAAACAAATTTATATATTAGTCAAAGATAACACAAGTAAACACATCATGCAGTTTTTAAATGAAGGTTTTTATTATTAAGGGAAAACAAAATCCAAAACTATAGATCCCTGTGTGAACAAGTGTTTGCCCCCCTGTCAAAACACTGGTTTATCGCACCTGAGTTCAATTTCTCTTGCCACACCTGTTCGCAATCAAGAAATCACTTAAATAGGACCTGCCTGACAAAGTGAAGTAGACCAAAAGATCCTCAAAAGCTAGACATCATGCCGAGATCCAAAGAAATTCAAAAACAAATGAGAAAGAGAATAATGGAGCTCTATCAGTCCGGAAAAGGTTATAAAGCCATTTCTAAAGCTTGGGGACTGCAGCGAACCACAGTGAGAGCCATTATCCACAAATGGCGAAAACATGGAACAGTGGAGAACCTTCCCAGGAGTGGCCAGCCGACCAAAATTACCCCAAGAGCGCAGCGACAACTCATCCAAGAGGTCACAAAAGACCCCACAACAACATCCAAAGAACTGCAGGCCTCACTTGCCTCAGTTAAGCTGAGTGTTCATGACTCCACCATAAGAAAGAGACTGGGCAAAAATGGTTTGCATGGCAGAGTTCCAAGACGAAAACCACTGCTGAGCAAAAAGAACATAAAGGCTCGTCTCAGTTTTGCCAGAAAACATCTTGATGATCCCCAAGACTTTTGGGATAATACTCTGTGGACAGACGAGACAAAAGTTGAACTTTTTGGAAGGTGTGTGTCCCATTATGTGTGGCGTAAAAGTAACACCGCATTTCAGAAAAAGAACATCATACCAACAGTAAAATATGGTGGTGGTAGTGGGATGGTCTGGGGCTGTTTTGCTGCTTCAGGCCCTGGAAGACATGCTGTGATAAGTGGAACCATGAATTCTGCTGTGTACCAAAATATCCTGAAGGAGAATGTCCGGCCATCCGTTTGTGACCTCAAGCTGAAGCGAACTTGGGTTCTGCAGCAGGACAATGATCCAAAGCACACCAGCAAGTCCACTTCTGAATGGCTGAAGAAAAACAAAATGAAGACTTTGGAGTGGCCTAGTCAAAGAGAAATTGAACTCAGGTGCGATAAACCAGTGTTTTGACAGGGGGGCAAACACTTGTTCACACAGGGCTCTATAGTTTTGGATTTTGTTTTCCCTTAATAATAAAAACCTTCATTTAAAAACTGCATGATGTGTTTACTTGTGTTATCTTTGACTAATATATAAATTTGTTTGACGATCTGAAACATTACAGTGTGACAAACATGCAAAAAGATAAGAAATCAGTAAGGGGGCAAACACTTTTTCACACCACTGTATAGTAATTACCTCAGATCAACACCAAAGAAAGGATGGATTCCCAGGAGCAACCTACTGTATATTCAACCCTACAAGAAGCATGAACAGTGAAAGCACATTAAAGTGATACACTGGCTGACTTTGCATCAGAGTAACCGAGCCTGTCAGTGACGTCCTTGACCTAGCTGAACATGTCCCCGATGCTCAGTGCTGTAAGAGATGTAAATGTAATCCCAGAACCCCAGAGTTTCCTCCATCCTGAGATTTCACTAACTACAAGCTTTAACACAAATTCATGAAGAGTCATCTACATGACATGACATATAATGCACTGATATTCTAACATGACCAGTGAACATAAAAGTCCACCACATCATGAAGACGTACTACAAACCGAACAATTCACCAGCCACATTATTCTGTTGTTGAAACCTGCACAGAAGAAGAGTGCATCCTTCTTCTAGCAATGTTTGTCATGTGGAAGGGCTGAATTTAGAGGTCCATGGAGTCCAGGAGCAACTTGGGAATAAAGGGAGGATGAGAAATGCTTTTATTGATTGCTGGTCCTCCCTTCGGCCCAGCAGACAGCATTACAGACAATATGAGTGCCTGGAAACCGACTGGCCTAATATGGTGAGAAATGATGTGCTGTCTGATTCACTCTGACAAAAAAAAGCTAACTGAGCCATGACATCTGCAGCAATATGTGCAGTGAAATCAGGTCATTACAGCAACAGAGAAAAACAAGGTGCAACGAAAACATCCCCCAGTATTTAACACTGTGTTGGTGGAGCGACCAACTGTGCTGTCCCTAGAGCCACACTGCTCATGTAGCTAGAAATAATAATTTTCCAACACTGAATGGATTCAGAATATATAAACCTGTATCAACAAAGCATGTACTTGTAAAGCTGTGAGGCCCCCGCTGTTAGCAGTGATGGAAAGAAAGGCTTTTGGCCAAACCTAATGGCTGAGTTGTGCAGTAGCTTTATGTGGCTAAACCCCCCTGCTGTGACCCCCTGCTGGGGATGGAAAGGAAAAAGCTGCTGTCAAAAACTGACAGGGACACAGGGAACAGCTCTCTCCTCCACTCAGCCACATAATCACCAGGGCTAGGTGATGGCAAAAGCATTAAAAATGGATCTGATTAAAAAATACCAAGAAAGCATGCCTTGGTCAAAGGTACACAATGCTCCTAACACAAAAAGACCAATGGAACTAAAATGTAACAATGCTGAATATGTGAGTATGCTGAGCTTCACTGGAGATTAGTGTTCGTCTGTGTCCACTGTGCAGCAGCCTGTGTGAACAAGTGTGACTTTCTGTTTGGATTTTCTGTTTTGTATTATGAGAGGCCAGTGTCAGTCATCTCCCTAATGGAGGAGAGCTTGTAGGGGCAAACAGCCAGCGGAGAAGACCGATTTCTGCTTCATCACGTGGGAGACAGCAGCTAAAGAGACCCCATTATGTCTAATGAGAGGGATTCACAAAGCAGCTTTCTCCACTACAACGTCTGGGGGGGTGGGGGGGAGCGGGATGCAGAAGGAGGACAGAGATGGAGACAAATGTGGAGCGACTAAGAGGAAGGAGAGGGCTGGAGTGAGAGAGGAGAGGATAAACCTGACCTACTTCTCCATGGCTTATTTATATGCTGAGGACAACAGAGTGAACCAACCAGAATCCTGGCAAAGCAATAATAGTCAGAAACATCCCAGTCTGAAAAGCAGCAGGTTAATAATGCAAACACTTCCACCTAAGCTGTGAATTCATGTTAAAACAACATCCATTCATTCAGTCTTCCAGGGGTTTGAAATAATCTACTTTACAAATCTAGTAATTAGTCCATATATAAAGTCATATTTTGAGGGTAAAGACTGGTATTATTCTAGATTTTCTTATAGTCACCAAGTCCCACAAAAAGAGCCAAGCTAGCAATGTGTTAGTCCGTCTCCCCACACAGTGTCCTGACACTCAGCCCCTAGTCCACTGGGTCTTAGTGTAGACTTGCAGCGGTCTGAGGCTGTACAAAGGCACAGTGATGCTTTGAGCTACATGCTAACCTTAGCATTTCAACATGTACACAATGAAAATGCTACCATGTTGATGTATGTAATGTATGTAGCAGGTATTATATTTTACATACTCACCATCTTAGTTTACCTAATAATGCAAATTAGCACTTAACCCAAAGTCCAGCTGAGGCTGATGGTAATGTCATTAGTTCTGTGGGTGTCATTTCATTACTTTGGCTTATGACCAAATGTGGACTGGTTCTTGCTGGTGGTGGATCATTAACCCATTAAGTACTTGATGAAATATTTTACCTTAACTTCAACTAAATTACCAAAGTCAGTGCAATTCAGCACAAATGTCCTGTAAATCATCGTGTCAATCAGTCCAGTAGCCTTTGAGCCACACTGCTAGTCCACATGACAAGAGGGATGATGTGTCATGTTCAGTAAGGTAAACCTAAGAAAACCTGGGATGCATTGTAGAACATGCATCAAAATAATGAGCTTGGCAATATCCATTCCCTGTGCCTCAAACCATTCACCATTTGCGACACAGCAACCTTTACACAACTGAATGAACAGTGTCCAGGGTCTGTATACTACTTCCTGTTACCAATCCCACAACTGCATTGCATGTCACATTTAACAGGTGCGAAAATTGTTGTCACTGATGCAAAATGATGAGTAAGTGCATGAAATCCACAGCCCATCTAGTTTATGAACTGAAAAAAAAAATCCCAGTGGAATAATTGCCTCTAAAACGTGGTATATAGGACATGTAGGCAGCAGAAGTCCAGTAATTATGATGAGTGTTTGTGGATTTTATTTCTCTATAGCCCACCCATTACAATTACTGGTACTAATGTATACAATTCTATTATATGTCTTTTGGTAAATAAGCCAGGCTCCACAGGGCATCAGTGGTAATGAGCACATCAAGGAGTAGATATCGGAACAAAGTGCTGAGTCAGCAAGATGCAGGTGCACAGAGCTTATCCGCTTTCTGGCTTAGGCACTGAGGTATGGCCTTCATGTTTTACTAAACAGGAAAACTGTAGCTGTGATGACAAGGAATATGAAATGATATTCATTTTAAAACCATCTTTCTTGTGTCTTACATCTGAGCTATTCCTAAAAACTTTATCTGTGTTGAACTAGACTCACCTGAATGTTCTGCTGCACAGCTCCTAAAAACTTTTTTTTTTAAGAAAACTGAAAGAACTGTGTGCACTGTGCATTTTCTTTGGCTGTTTATCTAATAGCTGTCTCAAGAAATACATTTTGATCTTGGAGCAACTACAGAATTCTGGTAAATGAAGGAATCTGACTTGTGCATATCTGCACTTAAAAGTCAGATTGTTAAACAAGGGACAAATGCATAATAACAATATGATCTGGGTAAAGCTAATATGCTTAATAAAATCAGATTCCACAACACAAAGGTTTGTTCGAGCAGCACCGGATATTCTTTCCTCCTCTTTAGAGAAAATATATTTGGTACTTAAGGCCTGTCTGAAGTAGCATTAAAGTCTTTTTTCTCTTGCTCTCCACAGGTGCCACTGTTCATTATGGAATTATAACACTTTAAATACTGAAGTCATCCGAAGCAGAGTGAGAAAGTGCAGCCTGTTAACATCTTGGCAGGGAAATGATGAAAGCCCAGATGTGCATTCAGATTCCTGCTTACGTGGAGCTGAGAGCTGATATGAGCCAGCTGCTAAACACACACCATAACTAGGACACCATGAATTATGCATCAACATCCAGCTTAGCTGGAGCCATGACTTGAATACTTGTCATCTCTAATTTAACTACAATATGTTTATGACAGACTGTACTATATACTCCACACAGAAACAGAAAGGTACTCATGCTCTGCACAGCTTTAGTGTGTGGGTTTATGAGTTGTAGTTTATTAAATATTGTAAACGGAAATAAAGACAAACAATACTAAAAGACTGGATGATCAGCAGGGCATCTACAGACAGTGTGAAAATGTGCTAAATGTATTAACTGCATATGTGTTTTATTTTCTTAAATGAAATGCTACTTCAACAGAAATAAAGCTTGGTACTGGACCAGTCCGCAAATACCCGGTCTGCATCCGCTGGCAATGCTTTTAAATTTCTGTACTACCTGGACAACGGTACAGTAAATCTTAGGGAAAGCTTGAAGTTGTGACAAATATCTTATGGTCCAAGTATGCTCAGGATTAAGTGATTAAAACACAGTTAATGTTAGTCCTGATTAATAAAAAGGAAAACGTTATGAACAGGCATGTGATGGGATAATACTGTATATGCAGGTCTACTTGTGGTTCCTAGAGTCCACAGAAGTAGAATGGGGGGCAGAGCCTTTAGCTATCGAGCTCCTCTCCTGTGGAACCAGCTCCCAGTCTCAGTTTGGGAGGCGGACACCCTCTCTACCTTTAAGATTAAACTTAAGACTTTCCTTTTTGATAAAGCTTATAGTTAGGGCTGGATCAGGTGACCCTGAGCCTTATTATTATTACTATTATTATTATTATCATCCCCTTAGTTACTATTGGCCTAGGCTACTGGGGGGCCCCATGATGATCTGAGTTTCTCCCCTCTCCTCTCTCAATATGCCACCATTATATGTCACTAACTGTGTCTCCTCTCTCTCTCATAATGTGTCCTCTCTCTCTCCCTGTACCTTTCTACAGGTAGCCCTGGCTCTGGAGCTCTACGTTTCTGATGAGCATTCACCGGCCACATCAGCCTGCCCAATGTTTGATTGTTTGTTGTGTCTTGTTGCTTTTCTTTCTGTTCTCTCTCCTCTATCCACTCACCCCAACTGGTCGAGGCAGAAGAGCTCATTTGTAGCTCTTCTAAAATTGTTCAGCAAAATTCAGTGGGAGAAAGTCTCCAAGTTCAAAGTTAATTCTAAAATCTGTCACTGAGTCTGAATTTCAGTACACAATAAAACATCTAAAAAGGTCTTATGAACTCTGGAGGTACAACAAACTTCATGATATAACAAAACAAGGACTTAACATCATTTGAAAAACAGCGACATCGGGTTTTTCCATACTGCTGATATTCCCCAGTGAATACTGGCTCATTACACTGAACTGACACTGTTCAGCCTGTACTCCCCAATCAGGAGTGTGTTTTAATGAGATTTGAAGACACTCACCCTGTTAAAGTGTTTGGCCTGGAAGAGGTGTCCGTTGACTCGGTAGAGTTTCCTCCATCTTCTGGCCCCGCGGCGATAGATCGATTCTAGGAGAGGAGGGAAACAGTGGTAGAGTAGGAGCATGGTGAAGGACTGACTGAGGAGGGGGGATGGAGCTGAGCCACTACACAGTAAAAGGAGGAAAAGATGGAGAAGGCGGGAAGAAACCTAAAGACTGAAATGAGTGAAAGCTCCTGAGGCTCATCTTTCATGTGAAGTCTGAGTTCAAGCAAGGGGAAGATAACCATCAGGTGTATGTACCTTCTCTACTCCACTCCCTCCTTCTAGATCAATCCTCTTTCACACTCTCCCTTCATATTCCTCTGTCTTTCCACGCTTGTTTGCTTCCTCAAGACCTCCATTCCTCATTCAGTTTTTCCTGAATGAATGGACTTATTAGTGCCTAATAATAATAATAATGATGATGATGCCTTTTATTCAGACAAGTCCATGAAGGTGCAATTTATAAAAGGACCATGTAGTCAGCTATTAATAAACTGCAGGGCATAAACAGGTGCTTACCAGTACACAGAAACTGTCCTCATATCTAACAGTGTTTTAAATGGTTACAAAATATTCCGCACATGAGGAAGTATTGTAATGTAGTTGCAGCGCCAAAACCTCTTAAGGAGAAGGTGAGGGTGGATGGATGCCTCAACAAAGCATGTGACTGACAACATTTCTTCACTGATGTGTTGACAGATGTGGGAAAACACAAGTATGTCATGTATGACAAATCCTCTACATTTTAGAATTAGCAGTCACAGAGAGGATGAGTGTGGTTCTGTTTAAAGCAGTGTTTCTCTTTTGGTCTGGCAGTTACTTTGGAGCTAGTTGGGGCAATAACAAATACCCAGTTGGCTCCTGCCCCCCCGCGACCCCATTCGGGACTAAGCAGTATAGAAAATGAGAGAGAGAAAGAGAAATACTCAGTCAGGGTGAACACGTTTATAAAGCTGGAGATGTCTCTCTTTCCAGCGTTGAGGCTCGTGTTTGCTACAATTCTCACTGAATGTTTAAATCCTGAAATATAAGCTGATGGTGAGAATCAAAGAAGTGCAAACTATAAGTTGTTAGTATGCATCCTCTCCTTTGTGAAACTGATGCGTTCATCCACTCAGGTGATGTGATCTGATAAGTGGCTTGTATCTAAAAACCTTTCTCGCCATGGACTCTATGTATGACTCAGGAAAGGGTGAATCAGTAGAAGCAACTGCATTTTTGTCTGACATTCGAACTGCCACAGTTATTAATTCAAAGACAACATGTTATGTAATTTTTTTTAGCTACACAATGTCAGCATCGGTCATTTCAGTGATGATTTGGCCTCTGAGGTTTTGTCTCATGCTGCTCCCAAAATGTAGTCCTATCTAAGCACTGAAATATCAACACACAACTACATAGATTCAGTTGCTATCAAAAGTAGGACTGGCCAAAACTAACATTATACAGTATGAATGACTTACTGATTTAAACTGACTCAAGTTCTAATTTCAGGACAGTTCAACCAGATCATCTTAACATGGAATGATATATAATCAGAAGTTCACCCAAATATGCCAGAACACAGTCCTATTCAGAAGTCATAATAATGAGCTGAATTAAAATCTGTATAACCAACATGCATCACATCTGTTGTTCATATTACTTAGTCTAGGTCCAATCCCAGTGTGCAGATGAGATCTACAGGGTAGCAACTGATAGGAAATTATGATAGTTCTGTTAGCTAATAGTTTCTATTAGCAGCAGGAAATCTGGATTTCATGGTTTAAATGGATGTGCTATCAGCAAGCGGCAACCTCCGAAGCTGAGAACTGACGCCAGTACCTAAGTGCCACAACTTGCACTTCCTCAAATGGCCACTTGAAGCTCCAAATGGGAGTCAATCCCTTCAGACTCCCATGTTAAAAATGCCCATCTTTACAGCAGAAATAAACATGTTTACAGCCTGGTAGAAAAAAACAGTTTTAGTCTCTAGCTAATTTCCCCTTGCATGACAACTGTACAAGGGGATGACTTTTTTAATATAATTTTCCCATTTAAATTATATTGTGGCTAAAAGTTATGCGTTAATTGAGGGTGTGGCCACTTTGAGTGACAGGGTCTGCCACAGGTGGCTAAAGAGCTCCGGATTTGTTGGGTTTTTCCTCTATAATAATAATAATAATAATAACAACAGTAAGGTCTAGACCTTACTTTGTAAAGTGCACTGAGATTATCTTTGTTGTAATTTGGTGCTATACAAATAAAATTGAATTTAATTGAATTGGTCAGTCATAGACCGGCAACCTGTCCAGGGTGTACACCGCCTCTCGTCCAATGTCAGCTGGGATTGGCTCCAGTTTGGATTGTTTGTTTTTGTTTTGTTTTTTGGGAGTGTTTCAACTGAACTGATTCACATGAGCCAGTTTGTACCACATACAGCCTGGTGAAAAAAATAGTGTACAGTAGTTCATATACATAAACAGTGACACTTTTCAGTGCTGACTGATACAGTCAGGGAAAAAAGTATTTGAATCCCAGCTGATTTTGTAAGTTTTACACACGGCCAAGGCAACAAAGGATTGGCTCAAGATGAAGCATATTAAGGTCATGGAGTGGCCTAGTCAGTCTCCAGACCTTAATCCCATAGAAAATCTGTGGAGGGAGCTGAAGATTCGAGTTGCCAAACATCAGCTACAAAACATTAATGACTTGGAGAGGATCTGCAAAGAGGAGTGGGTCAAAATCCCCCCTGAGATGTGTGCAAACCTTGTGGCCAACTACAAGAAATGTCTGACCTCTGTGATTGCCAACAAAGGTTTTGCCACCAAGTACTAAAGCATGTTTTGCAAAGGGATCAAATACTTATTTCATTCATGAAAATGCAAATTACTTTATAACTTTTTTTGTAATGCATTTTTCTGGATTTTTTTTGTTATTGTTGTGTCTCTCACTGTTCACATAAACCTACCACTGAAATTGTAGACTGATCATTTCTTTGTTAGTGGGCAAACTTACAAAATTTTTTCCCTGACTGTATATCCGCTGCCAAACAAAGCAATAAATTATCTGCCAATTTGCATGTGTTCACTTTTTCTGTTCACCACAGCATGAAGTGAACTGGTTGGCTGAACCACATCAGGGTCTCCTGACTCCCAGTAATGCCTCTCCTTGTCTGTACTGGTTTTCCAGTCTGGTTGGTTGTTTCAGTGCTGGGTGCAGCTGTGACATCCTCCTCCACTCACTCATTTTTGCCTGTGTTGCTATGGTAGCCACAGCCCAGCATGCACTGGCTATTACTAGTTGGCTATGAAGATGTCAGGATAACTGTCTGCAAATGAAAGTAAATCTTAACATCAATGTTCCTTTCTCCTCTTGTGAAAAAATATTCTCACATTGTGCAGGAACAGGTTCAACATATTGTTTATCAGATTAGCTTTTTATCCCGTGAGCTGTGCTTAAATGTGGTGAATTCTTGTGTCAGACGGTTTTAAAGTAGAGGCTCACGTCATCTTTAATGAGGCCTATGCTGTCTTGGATTGTACTCTCAACAGTTGTACTTTCTGTCTTTTTGGCACTGAAATGAATATTTTTTTTATTCAGGAGGAGATCAGAGTGAATGTTAGCCAAGGAGAGACACAAAGAGGCCCTGCTCTTCAGGGTCTCATCTGTGAATTCCCTCTAATCCTGTTAACTCAAGGCCCAGAAAGGACAGTGCCACCTCCCTCGGAGAATCACTACACCATGTTTCCATAGTTACCCAGTATCTCTTCCCCTTTGCCCATACTAGTGGGTGAGTGTCGGGGGTGGGGGTACAATACGTCCCTGAGGCTGTGCATGTGAGGAAGGTGAACCTGTACACATCATGTTACACTTCCTCAGTGCACACGTCAGATGTTAAATACAGTGTAGATGAATTTAATAATTAACTGCAATAGATGTTTTGACAAAGTGGTAAGCTGCAGCTCTTACCTCTGTCTCGTCAGTCAGTGTTAATGAACAAATAAGCAGTTACAAAAAGAAGGTTTAAATACATGAGCGAATGTTTTTGTCTTTATTGCATATCTGGCTACCATAATGTGACTCTGGTGAATATTCCATTAATAATCTTGACAGTCTAATGAGAACAAAATGTATTTGGTGTACAAACACATTTGTATGAAATCTTCTATTGCATTATTATTATTATTACTGTAACTATTCCATAGAGAAAACTTTAGCAGCTAAAATCAGGGCAAACCTGTTACAGTGCCAATATTGTTATCAAGGAATCAATTACTATTGATTGTCAATCATGCAAAAACTATTTACTACATTTATAAAATAGTTTAGAAAAAGAAGTGTTCCTAATATTCTGACCCTCTCAGGTATGTAGCAGGGGAGGACAAAAGTATAGCGACACCGCTGAATATAATGTAGTCCAGTACAACACCACCTTTAACTACGACCTCATACATTTGAGCTTCATAAACACAGATGCTAAGGTAGGAATGCTGCATTGACGTGCATACAATTGTACAGGTGTACCTAATAAAGTGGCCCGTGAGTGTATATTTCTGCGCTTCACTCAGTTTAGCAACATGTAAAACATAATGTACACACACAGTCCTGATTGAGCAGATTAGCTGCAACTATGAATGCTGACAACTAATAACTAACAATAACAATTTTCTCCAAACTTCAGCAATGATTGTTGCTTATAACAAATATTTAAATTTATAGAGAAATAATTTAGACATCAGACTGTGTTTACAGGAACTTTAAGAATTTATGGTGGCTCACTTTTTTAAAACCAGTGAGTTATATAGAGCTGAAGTCTGAATGTGTCAACTTGGTTTCTATTATGTTCAAAGTCCAAATTATATTTATTGTAATCAGTATGGTCATGTGTTACTGCTGCAGGTCTCACATCCTTGTATTAAACTCACTATCATCTGGGATCAGGTGGCACATCTTTATCATTACATGGCCGTTGATTGATTAGCAAAGTGCTACTCTTGACCATGTCCGCTCTTTAATAAGTGGAGCATCATGGTACCAGTCTTGGTGCTCGTTCTGTTTTCTT